TCGCCAAAAATAAATTGGTTAATTACGATTTTGACTTCCGTTTATTCGGGACCCCGGGGTCCCCCCACCATAAGGTTCAGTTCACAGTGTAGTGGTGGTGATAGCCGGTGGGGCTGTGTGGTGGTGGTAGGGCTGACATCCGTGCGTGTGTGGCGTGCGTGTTGTGGGGAGTGCTAGTGCAGCTGTTAGCGCGCTGCGCTGTAAACCCGGCGACCCGGGTAAAATTCATCTGAACCGATCATGGGCCTCCCCATGGTCGACTCGGCCTCAAATGAGTACCTGGTGCCGTGTGTAAACATCGTTGGGGGTAATGGTGGTGGCCACCCCCCACCCCCTCGTGTGCCGTGCCGGCCTTCATAGGTGCTGCTACTCGCTAACAGCACTTGCCCCTACAGTGTGTCAAGGCTATGGGGGGGGGAATCTTTGTCTTTGTGTTTCTGTGTTTCTGTGTGTTGCCGCAGGCTGCGGGTGGCGGGGAGGAAGCAGGCCCCAGGCCGGGCTCCGACGTGCGGGGGGGCGACGTGAAAAGGGCCCCGCACGGATACACAGGTGGGGGGGTGGGGGGGGTGGGGAGGGGGGAGTGGGGTGGGGGGGGGAGGGGGTGGGGGGGTCCCGAACCATGCCGACCCTACCAGGCCCTCGCCGGCACCGCCCGGCTCCCGGCATAGGTCGCGACCCGTGTGTGCCCGTGTCTCCGCGAGTGTGTGTTGGCGCGAGTGTGTTGGTCCGTGTGTGTCCGTTTGTGCATATATTGGCCACCCACCTCCTTCGTGCGCCGTGCCGGCCTTCACAGGTGCTCGCTAACAGCACTTGCCCCAGCGGTCTGTTGAGGTTATACCGGGAATCTTTGTCTTTGCTGTGCGTGGGGGTGAGCGGTCGCATACTGTTTAGCGCTACGCTGTGTCCAAGTCGCTTCTGATCAAGATCTCAGTGGGTCTTACCGGGTAAAATAAAACAAATAATAGTTATTCAGGGCTAAGCGCCTGGAGCAGCAGAAGCAGCAGCAGCTTCCTAGCGTTGTCCTACGCAAGGAAGCCGGTCGTCATCCCGCTGGGTGCTGCGGAGGAGAGAGGGGTGGGGGGGGGGAGCGTGGGGGCGGGGGGGGAGCTGCGAGTCCCCGGCTGTGCTCATGGCGGCTTTACAACCCCCGCTAAAGATGAACATCAGTGGCGGGACCACGGGCTGATGAGTCGGATGCCTTCTGTGCCTCCGTGTCACGGTGGGGGGGGTGTGTACGGCTCGCGGGGGGACGTCGCAGGGTGGGTCGGGGGTCAGGGGGGGGTGTCGCTGTTGGGGTCTCACGGGCCCCCCCCCCCCCACCACGTATGTTGCAGGAGCGGTGGGGGAGCACACGTACGTCAACACCCACGTGAACACCCACGTGAACACCCACGTGAACACCCACGTGAACACCCACGTGAACACCCACGTGCCGTGCGCGGCGAGGGGGGCCACGCAGCCCCCCCACAGAGACGCCTTCGACATGAGTGAGCAACGACCGCCGGCGCTTGCCCACTCACTCACCCACTCGCTCGCCCACTCGCTCACCCACTCGCTCACCCACTCGCTCACCCACTCGCTCGCCCACTCGCTCACCCACTCGCTTGCCCACTCGCTCGCCCACTCGCTTGCCCACACGCTCACCCACACGCTCACCCACACGCTCGCCCACTCGCTCACCCACTCGCTCACCCACTCGCTCACCCACTCGCTCACCACTCGCTCACCCACTCGCTCACCCACTCGCTCACCCACACGCTCACCCACTCGCTCACCCACTCGCTCACCCACTCGCTCACCCACTCGCTCGCCCACTCGCTCACCCACTCGCTCGCCCACTCGCTCGCCCACTCGCTTGCCCACACGCTCACCCACACGCTCACCCACACGCTCGCCCACACGCTCACCCACTCGCTCACCCACTCGCTCGCCCACACGCTCGCCCACACGCTCACCCACTTGCTCACCCACTCGCTCACCCACACGCTCACCCACTCGCTCACCCACACGCTCACCCACTCGCTCACCCACACGCTCACCCTCGCAGACCCACTGTCATCCACACGCTCACCCACACGCTCACCCGCATGCTCACCCGCACGCTCACCCTCGCATACCCACTGTCACCCACACGCTCGCCCACACGCTCGCCCACACGCTCACCAACTCGCTTATCCTCACCCACTCGCTCACCCTCGCAGACCCACTTTAACCCACACGCTCACCCACACGCTCACCCACACGCTCGCCCACACGCTCACCCACACGCTCACCCGCACGCTCACCTTCGCATACCCACTGTCACCCACACGCTCGCCCACACGCTCGCCCACACGCTCACCAACTCGCTTATCCTCACCCACTCGCTCACCCTCGCAGACCCACTTTCACCCACACGCTCACCCACACGCTCACCCTCGCATACCCACACGGTCACCCACTCGCTCATCCTCACCCACTCGCTCACCCTTGCATATCCACTGTCACCCACTCGCTCACCCACACGCTCACCCACTCGCTCACCCACTCGCTCACCCACACGCTCACCCAAACGCTCACCCACACGCTCACCCTCGCAGACCCACTTTCACCCACACGCTCACCCACAAGCTCACCCTTGCATATCCACACGCTCACCCACTCGCTCATCCTCACCCACACGCTCACCCACACGCTCACCCTCGCATATCCACACGCTCACCCACACGCTCATCCTTACCCACACGCTCACCCACACGCTCACCCACACGCTCACCCTCGCATATCCACTGTCACCCACACGCTCACCCACACGCTCACCCACACGCTCACCCTCGCATATCCACACGCTTACCCACACGCTCATCCTCACCCACACGCTCACCCTCGCATACCCACTGTCACCCACACGCTCGCTCACACGCTCACCCTCGCATACCCACTGTCACCCACACGCTCACCCACACGCTCACCCTCGCATACCCACTGTCACCCTCACGCTCACCCATACACTCACCCACACGCTCACCCACTCGCTCACCCTCGCATACCCACTCACTCACCCACACGCTCACCCACACACTCACCCACACGCTCACCCACTCGCTCGCCCACACGCTTGCCCACACGCTCATCCTCGCATACCCACTGTCACCCACACGCTCACCCACACGCTCACCCTCGTATACCCACTCACTCACCCACACGCTCACCCACACGCTCACCCTCGCATACCCACTGTCACCCACACGCTCACCCACACGCTCACCCTCGTATACCCACTCACTCACCCACACGCTCACCCACACGCTCACCCACACGCTCACCCTCGCATACTCACTGTCACCCACACGCTCACCCACACGCTCACCCTCGCATACCCACTGTCACCCACACGCTCACCCACACCCTCACCCTCTGTGGTGGTGATGCCCCCCGACCCCAGGGCCGTTTGAGGACGCGCTGAAGCAGCAGGGGGTTTCGCCCCCCCTCCCCGACGGGGGCTCCCCCCCGCCCCCCGGCTCCTCCCCCCCGCCCCCTCCCCCCCCCACCGCCGCCGCCGCCTCCATGGAGGAGGCTCTGCGGCGCGAGCGCTGGTACCACGGCAAGATGAGCCGGCACGACGCGGAGCAGCTGCTGCAGGCACGCTCACTCGCACGCACACTCACACGCTCACGCACACACTCACTCGCACACTCACACGCTCACCCGCACGCGTACTCACCCACTCACTAACACACTCGCTCACCCACACGCGTACTCACCCACTCACTCACACACACACTCACCCACACACTCACCCACACACTCACGCTCACCCGCACTCACCCGCCAGCTCACTCACACACACACTCACCCACACACTCACCCACTCACTCACACACACGCTCACCCACACACACGCTCACCCACACGCACACTCACCCGCCTGCTCACCCACACACACGCTCACCCGCACACGTACTCACTCACACACACGCTCACCCGCACGCACCCGCCAGCTCACCCACACACTCACTCGCACACTCACACGCTCACCCGCACGCGTACTCACCCACTCACTCACACACACACTCACCCACACACTCACCCACACACTCACGCTCACCCACACTCACCCGCCAGCTCACTCACACACACACTCACCCACACACTCACCCACTCACTCACACACCCACACACTCACCCACTCACTCACACACACGCTCACCCACACACACGCTCACCCACACGCACACTCACCCGCCTGCTCACCCACACACACGCTCACCCGCACACGTACTCACTCACACACACGCTCACCCGCACGCGTACTCACCCGCCAGCTCACTCACACACTCACTCACCCACTCACTCACACACACGCTCACCCACCCACCCACTCGCACACACACTCACCCACTCACTCGCACGCACACTCACCCACACTCAGCCGCTCACTCACTCACACACACACTCACCCACACACTCACCCACTCACTCACACATACGCTCACCCGCACGCGTACTCACCCGCCAGCTCACCCACACACTCACCCGCACGCGTACTCATCCACTCACTCGCACGCGTACTCACTCGCTCACACACACGCTCACTCGCACGCACACTCACCCACCCACTCACCCACCCACTCACTCACCCACTCACTCACACTCACACACACACTCACCCGCACGCGTACTCACTCGCCTGCTCACCCACCCACCCACACACTCACTCGCACGCACGCACTCACACTCGCGCACACTCACTCGCGCACACTCACTCGCACACACGCATCCACCCGCACTAACCCACACTCACACCCACCCACACACTCACACCCACCCACCCACACACTCCCTCCCCCACCCCCTGACCCACACAAGGGGTTCGGTGTAACAGAATCAAATTTTCTTTAACGAGGTCTTGCTCGTGGTGGTGACGAGGTGGTGGTGGTGGTTGTGGTAATGACGGTGGTGGTTGTGGTAATGACGGTGGTGGTTGTGGTAATGACGGTGGTGGTTGTGGTAATGACGGTGGTGGTTGCGGTGGTTGTGGTAATGACGGTGGTGATCGTGGTAATGACGGTGGTCGTGGTAGTGACGGTGGTGGTTGTGGTAATGACGGTGGTGGTCGTGGTAATGACGGTGGTGGTCGTGGTAATGACGGTGGTCGTGGTAGTGACGGTGGTGGTTGTGGTAATGACGGTGGTGGTAGTGGTAATGACGGTGGTGGTCGTGGTAGTGACGGTGGTGGTTGTGGTAATGACGGTGGTGGTAGTGGTAATGACGGTGGTGGTCGTGGTAATGACGGTGGTGGTCGTGGTAATGACGGTGGTGGTTGTGGTAATGACGGTGGTGGTAGTGGTAATGACGGTGGTCGTGGTAGTGACGGTGGTGGTTGTGGTAATGACGGTGGTGGTAGTGGTAATGACGGTGGTGGTCGTGGTAATGACGGTGGTGGTTGCGGTAATGACGGTTGGTGGTCGTGGTAATGACGGTGGTGGTTGTGGTGGTTGCGGTGGTGGTTGTGGTAATGACGGTGGTGGTTGTGGTAATGACGGTGGTGGTCGTGGTAATGACGGTGGTGGTCGTGGTAATGACGGTGGTGGTCGTGGTAATGACGGTGGTGGTAGTGGTAATGACGGTGGTGGTCGTGGTAATGACGGTGGTGGTCGTAGTAATGACGGTGGTTGTTGTGGTATTGACGGTGGTGGTTGTGGTAATGACAGTGGTGGTTGTGGTGGTTGTGGTGGTTGTGGTGGTCGTGGTAATGACGGTGGTGGTTGTGGCGGTGGTTGTGGTGGTTGTGGTGGTTGCGGTGGTTGCGGTGGTTGTGGTAATGACGGTGGTAGTTGTGGTGGTTGTGGCGGTGGTTGTGGTGGTTGCGGTGGTTGCAGGAGGATGGCGACTTCCTGGTGCGGGAGTCGATGACGAGCCGCGGCCAGTACGTCCTCACGGGGCTGCAGCAGCAGCACGGCAAGCACCTGCTGCTCGTCGACCCCCACGGAGTGGTGACTCACACGCACGCTCACCCGCACGCTCACCCGCATGCTCACGCACTCGCTCGCTCGCTCACCCGCTCGCTCACCCGCACGCTCACCCACGCGCTCGCCCACGCGCTCGCTCACCCGCACGCTCACCCGCACGCTCACCCACTCGCTCACCCGCTCGCTCACCCGCACGCTCACCCGCACGCTCACCCGCTCGCTCACCCGCACGCTCACCCGCACGCTCACCCGCACCAACGTTCACCCGCTCGCTCACCCGCACGCTCACCCGCTCACTCACCCGCACAAATGCTCACCCGCACAAACGCTCACCCGCTCGCTCACCCACACAAATGCTCACCTATTGCCCCCCCCCCCCCCACCAGCTCTCCCATGTGCACACTCCCGCCCACTCAACAACCTGAACGCTGTCCAACCTGCACACTCACCCCCTGCCCACTCATTCACCTTCCTGGTCACCCACTCTGACCCCCCCCCCCCCCCGCTGTGTGTGCGAGCGCAGGTGCGCACCAAGGACCGCCGCTTCGACAGCGTCAGCCACCTGATTGGCTATCACCGTGACAACCAGCTGCCAATCATTTCAGCCGGGAGCGAGCTGTCTCTGAAACAGCCGGTGGAGCGCCAGACGTGACCAGCAGTCACACGTGACCAGCACACTCACGTGACCATCACTCACACACGTGACCAGCACACTCACGTGACCATCACTCACACACGTGACCAGCACACTCACGTGACCAGCAGTCACACGTGACCAGCACGCTCACGTGACCAGCACACTCACGTGACTGATTAGCACACTCACGTGACCATCACTCACAAACGTGACCAGCACACTCACGTGACCTAGCACACTCACACACGTGACCATCACTCACACGTGACCAGCACTCACGTGACCATCACTCACATGTGACTGATTAGCACACTCACGTGACCATCACTCAACACATGTGACCATCACTCAACACATGTGACCATCACTCACACGTGACCAGCACGCTCACGTGACCATCACTCACACACGTGACCATCACTCACACGTGACCATCACTCACACGTGACCATCACTCACACGTGACCATCACTCACACGTGACCAGCACGCTCACGTGACCATCACTCACACACGTGACCATCACACACACGTGACCAGCACGCTCACGTGACCATCACTCACACGTGACCATCACTCACACGTGACCAGCACGCTCACGTGACCATCACTCACACACGTGACCATCACTCACACGTGACCAGCACACTCATGTGACCATCACTCACACGTGACTGATTAGCACTCACGTGACCATCACTCACACGTGACCATCACTCACTCGTGACCATCACTCACACGTGACTGATTAGCACACTCACGTGACCATCACTCTCACGTGACCAGCACACTCACGTGATCATTACTCACGTGACCATCACTCTCATGTGACCAGCACACTCACGTGACCAGCACCATCACTCACACGTGACTGACTAGCACACTCACGTGATCATCACTCACGTGATCATCACTCACGTGATCATCACTCACGTGATCATCACTCACGTGATCATCACTCACGTGATCATCACTCACGTGATCATCACTCACGTGATCATCACTCACGTGATCATCACTCACGTGATCATCACTCACGTGATCATCACTCACGTGATCATCACTCACGTGATCATCACTCACGTGATCATCACTCACGTGATCATCACTCACGTGATCATCACTCACGTGACCATCACTCACGTGACCATCACTCTCATGTGACCAGCACACTCACGTGACCAGCACCATCACTCACACGTGACTGACTAGCACACTCACGTGATCATCACTCACGTGATCATCACTCACGTGATCATCACTCACGTGATCATCACTCACGTGATCATCACTCACGTGATCATCACTCACGTGATCATCACTCACGTGATCATCACTCACGTGATCATCACTCACGTGATCATCACTCACGTGATCATCACTCACGTGATCATCACTCACGTGATCATCACTCACGTGATCATCACTCACGTGATCATCACTCACGTGATCATCACTCACGTGATCATCACTCACGTGATCATCACACTCACGTGACCATCACACTCACGTGACCATCACTCACACGTGACTAACTAGCACACTCACTTGACCATCACTCACACAATTATACACACACACGTGTAACAATTAGTCACACGTGACCACCGCTGTCATACGAGTGATGGCCACTCGCACATCTGACTACCACTGATACGCGGACTCCACACGAGTGTAAGGATTGGTCACACGTGACTACCTCTTACACGATTACACCACTACCACTCGCACGCTGTTGGCATGCGACTACACACACGTGTGTAGTGGTGTCGCCACTCACACACGCACGGCCACAATTACACGCGTTAAAAGACTCGCACACACGTGTTGTGCGAGGCTGTGGCTACTACTGCACACACGTACGTGTCGCTGAAACTGCCACACACATGACACTAACTGCTACACACACGCACATGTAATGCTGTTACTGCTACACACACGCGTGTGCGAGGCTGTAAATACAAGTGACACTAACTACACACGCGACCATGTAAATACACGCGTGTGACTCTTTAACCGTGCACCGTCACGCGCATCGTCTAAATCATCACTCCAGACTCTGAGCACAAGCGTTCCCGGCCTTCAGGAGACGCCTGGGGGGGGGGGGGGGGGGTGTGCCACGCGGCTTTTACGAGTCCTTTGGAAGTGAAACACGTGGGTTTCCGTGGGTCTCTGAAGGCCTCTAACAGTGTTGCAGCGGTTCCCAAACCGTGGGGGTCGCGAGAGATTATCACGGGCAGAGGGTCGCGGGAACAGTGAAAGTACATATTTTTTTATTTTTAAATTAATGACAATACATCTCTGGTTACTGACAAGAGTGAACGAGATTACTCCCTGCCCATGGTTGTTGTGCTGCTGCTGCTGCTGCTGGTATGGTTGGTGTGGCGTGGTTTGGTGTGTTAACCGCAGTGCTTTTCAACCTCTCCTGCACCACGTGCTCAAACTCTCGAACTCCGCTGCATCTCCACGCAACTAAAGCAACACGGCTGTCGAGAATGGTGGGGGATGCTTTGCAGGCGAGAGAGAATTCATGATCCCTCCCTTCCGCCGATCTCCTGCAGAGCAAGGAAGCCAAGTGGGGCTACCAGCAACCAGGGCAGGCATTTGTCCAACTGCATGAGCGTGTATATCTGTGGGGAGCGGTGGTACAGCGGTTAGCGCGCTGCGCGACAAACTTGACCACCCGAATTCGATTCCCACTCGCGGCCAACATCAGCGACGATTATCTGATCCGGACCTGGGCCTCACCTAGATCGACTCGGCCTCAAATGAGTACCTGGTGCGGTGCGTAAAAAGCATCGCCACTGGGGAGACAAAGGCGGCCGTGCGTGGTGTTGGCCACCCAACACCACGCTAAGAGCACTTGCCCCAACAGTCCGTTCAGACTATACGGGGGATCTTTGTCTTTTGTATATGTGTGGCCACCCATGGTTCGGTTCCTACTCACTGCCAACACCCGTGACCGTTATCTGAACCAGTTCTGGTCCTCCCCTAGGTCGACTCAGCCTCAAATGAACGCCTGGTGCGGTGTGTAAAAATCATCACTACTGGGGAGACAAAGGCGGTCGGGCATGGAGCTGGCCACCCATCCCCTAGAGTAGCGTGCCAGCCTTCATCGGTGCCGGCTAACGGCGCTTCCTCCAACATTCTGTTGAGGCTACACGGGGGTTTTTCCATGTCTCTGCATCTGTTCCTTCCCAACTGCGCACCCACCCTAACAACCTTTACAAACAGGGCGGCTTCCTCTGACACACGTGTTGCTCGGGTGATGTTCACAATGGGGAGGGGGGGGTTCCCTGTTATTGGACAAGGGTTGGGGAGTTGGCGCGCGTGCATCCTCCACATGTCACCAGCAGGCACCACCGCCGATCACCCACGGTGCCGATCACCCACGGCGCCTCACTGGGCATGGAACTCTAGCTACTCGGTGGGTGGCGGGCGGGGGGGGGGTCTTGAGTGGGGCACGTTTGGGAACCCCTGTGGTGAGACGGCCGCAGATTCAGGGGTGACGAGGGGGGCAGCAAGTGCCCCCCTGCTCCCGCTCGCTATTAATGGACCGCGGCGCGCGCGTGTAAATTAGCCGCATCACCCCCCCAGCGCGCACGGCCTGCGGGGAGGGGGGGCTCTGCCAAACCCATGGTGCCCCCCACTCGCTCGCAAACCTAACGTTGCCGCCGCCCCCCCCGCCGCCTCCTCTCTTTGTAACCTCCTGTTTATTTATTAAATGTATTTTCTGGAAGCTTTCGAGTGGCGTGCGTCGTCGTCTGCTGCGTCGTCCTCTGCGTCGTTGTCCGCGCCGGCCGACGGCTCGCTAGAAGGTGACGACACGGGGGGCCCGGACGGCCCGAGGGGCTTTGGCGGCCGCGGCTTCGGCCTCCAGGGCCGGGTCGGCGTCGGCGCTGCCGCCCCCCTCCCACACGGTGAGCGTCAGCGCCGACACGGCGCCACCTGCACGCGGAGGCACGGAGATGTGACCGACCTGGCGGCGGCGGTGGTGGTGGGGGCGGCGGTGACACAGAGATCGACAAAACGGACAGAGACGGTGGTGGAGGTGGACGTTGTGTGGATGGTGGAGGAGACGGACGATGGAACGGGTAGAGACGGTGGTGCCAGACAAGCAACGGGGGGGGGTGGAGGAGATAGAAACGGAGGTGGACGCACGGCCGTCACGAGGAGACGAGTGGAGGAGGTGGTGGCGCAAGGAGACGGGGACACTGGAGGAGGCACAAACACGGGGGGGGGGGGAGGTGGCTCCGGCTTCACTCACCGCGCTTCGCCTCGGGGCAGTCCTTGTGGAAGTGCTCCACAGAACCGCACTCCCGGCAGCCACCGCCTACAGACACGGGGTCACGGTGAGCGGGTGGGGTCGTGGGGTCATGGTGAGCGGGTGGGGTCATGGGGTCACGGTGAGCGGGTGGGGTCGTGGGGTTAGGGTGAGCGGGTGGGGTCACGGTGAGCGGGTGGGGTCGTGGGGTCACGGTGAGCGGGCGGGGTCCTGGGGTCACGGTGAGCGGGTGGGGTCGCGGGGTCAGGGTGAGCGGGTGGGGTCACGGTGAGCGGGTGGGGTCGCAGCGAGCAGGTGGGGCGGTGGTAATGGTTGTGTTGGTACAGGAGTGGTGATGGCAAGTGTGGTTGTGGAATGGTGAAGTGGCAGTCCAGGCAGGGAGCGGAGGTGGTGGTGAGCATGGTGTTGATGTGCGTGGCGGTCGAATGTAGTGTTGGTGAGCGGAGTGGTGAGCGGTGTGGTGAGCGGTGTGGTGAGCGGTGTGGTGAGCGGTGTGGTGAGCGGTGTGGTGAGCGGTGTGGTGAGCGGTGTGGTGAGCGGTGTGGTGAGCGGCGTGGTGAGCGGCGTGGTGAGCCGCGTGGTGAGCCGCGTGGTGAGCCGTGTGGTGAGCCGTGTGGTGAGCGGCGTGGTGAGCGGTGTGGTGAGGGCCTCACCGGTTGCGTAGAGGCCCCTGGGGTTGTCCGGGCACGAGCGAGAGAGGTGACCCATCTCTCCGCAGATGAAACACTTGGCGAAGGGCAGCTCCCCTGTGCGCACACCGCAACACTCGCCCGTCACTCGCCCGTCACTCGTCCGTCACTCGACACAACAGCGAGTGTGGTGGTTCGAGATTGGTGGGTGCCGAGTGTGCGCGGTGGGTTGCGAGTGGGTGGTTCGTGCGGGTTGGTGGGTGCCTGGCGTGGGCGAGTGCGGTCGGTGAGTGGTCGGTGAGTGGTCGGTGCGATTGGCGAGAGTGGGTGGCGAGCGTGGCGAGTACCGGCGAGGGCGTCTATCCGAGCCCTGCAGGCCCCCAGCTCGTGCTCCGTGGAGCCGCAGCGGAAGCAAATGCCGGCACCGGACTCGGGGTCGCGTGGGCAGTCGGCCACGCCGTGGCCTGGCTCCCTGCACTGGAAACACACCTGGGGCACCGCACACCATGCGCACACCGACTCTCAACCACGTCCTCAACCACAACGCACTTTTAATTACCTCCTCAACCGCAACGCATTCTCACCGCGCTCTCAGCCACATCGCGCTCTCACCAAGACCACACTCTTGCCGACGCCGCACTCACACACCGAATGAGAACCCGCGCCACCACCGCACTCTCACTTCACGCCACACCCTCGCACCGCACCCTGGGACCCCCCCCCCACCCCCGCCGTGACCGCACCATGTTCCCCAGCTTCTTGTGCTGCCTCCGCAGTCTCCGCTCCTCGCGCCGCCGCTCCCTCTTCCCCGCGGTGGCGGCGTCCACCCCGGCGCCGTCGCCCGCTCCCCCCGCCCTTGCCGCGCGCTGCGCCGCCAGGAACCCGTTCACGTCCGGGTCCTCGTACTTTGCCTTCTTTGCCTTTTTCTGCGTCTCCTGGTTCTGTTCCTGCTGCTGCACCTCCCATGGAGTGGCGTCTCCCGGCCGCTTCCTGTGCGCGTTGTTAGCGCGCGCCCAGCGCGTCATGGCCCCCCCCGCTCCTCCGACACCACCTACAGGGCGACAACAACCACCACCACCACCACGGGCTTCATACACCCACAACAACCACCACCACCACGGGCTTCATACACCCACCACAACCACCACCTACAGGCCGACAACAACCACCACCCCATGGTTCATACACCCACCACAACCACCACAACGAACAACCACCACTACGGGCTTCATACACCCACAACAACCACCACCACCACCACGGGCTTCATACACCCACAACAACCACCACCACCACCACCACCACGGGCTTCATACACCCACCACAACCACCACCTACAGGCCGACAACAACCACCACCACATGGTTCATACACCCACCACAACCACCACAACGAACAACCACCACCACGGACTTCATAAACCCACCACCTACAGGGCGAAAACCACGGTGTTAACACAACCGCTGTTAGCCACTAAGTGGTGAAGTCACCCCGGTGATTGTGCCGTGAGGTGTCGAAGGCCCTCTGGCAGGCGGTCACGGAACTGACCCTGGTGGTGCCATGGGTTGACTGATGGAGATGACCAGCAGATTCACCACCAGCTGTGCTCCCACTGTGCCACCTTTTTGCGTTTTATCCGCCCGGCGCTCCGCTCGTTGTTGTGAGCGTCGCTCCTCCGCCCTCCGTTGTTGCTGGAGGGCGACTGCCTCCAACTGCCCAGTAGCAGCAGCAGCGTCCTTCACGAGCCTCCTCCACGGAGGCCGATCTTGACACCGCTGGTGCCGGTCATCGGCAAGTCCACTCAGCTGCACATCCTTCTGTACTGCATCGGTCCATCCCATCTCCTGCCTGTGCCGTGCCCGTTTAGCCCTCTCGATCCGGCCAAAACAGAAGCTGCTTGGGCATGCGGTGGCTGGGCATGCGGGCTACGTGACCCAGCCAACGCAGCCTCGCCTGCCGGAGGAGCTCACTTGATGGGACTGTGTCCAGATCTTTCAATGATCTGTGAGCTGCTCACACAATCCAGCCCGGTTAAACCCAGGATTGGTTCGTAGGCAGGCCAGCCTGAATGTTTATAACCGGCGCAGATGTTCTTTGAGAGGGCTCCACGTTTTCACAAGCATGAGGAGCCATAACCGTGACTGGGAAGACCCGAAGCTTCACACGGAGCGACAAGCCACACGGAGCGACAAGCCACACGTAGCTTCCACACAGCGTTACGAAGCTGATGAACGATAATGACTCGGAGTGAGACCTCCTGCTGCCAAACCGGAGCTGGGTCGTGAGGAGCACACTGCCCACACTGCTGCAGCAGTAGCGCTGAACGATGAATCGATTTCAAATCGAAATTTGAAATACGATTAGCTAATCGCAAAGGCTGCGATTTTTTGCGGTTTGAAAAGTCCTATTACTTTTTTATTGGAATTGTTTTATTTTCTATTATACTATCTTTATTTATTGAACTTAACAATTGTTCTATGTTTGATTGTTCTACTTCAATTAAAACATTTTTTATAAATACATGTTGGAAGCAATTTATATATTTTAAGTTCTCATCCTTGCATTAGAATATTTCGAGCAGTTAATATTTTGATGGTACAGTATCATGTAGTAATGCTCCATCACACGTTTTAAATCTATTACACAGTGAATATTGATCTGAAGCTCGACTTTAGAAAATGTAATCGCAAATCAAATCGCAAAATCTGTCAGAAATATCTCAACTAGATATTTCTCCCAAATTGTTCAGCCTTCTTCTGCAGCACCCTCTCAACAAACTGCGACATCGCTCACGGGGAGTGGAGGGAGGGAAACGCCGAGGCGAGGCCCTTGGTGTTTGTGGGGCTGATGGCAAGGAGGCTCCATCTCTTTGTAGCGCGGTCACGGTTCAGCAACAACAACTCCAACTCACACCATTGGAACCTCATTTGCCAGTAAAAAAAACATGATAATTGTTTTTTACCCTTTAATCTGGCAAAAAAACTGACACATTTTTTACAAGGAGTCATGTTTGCATTGACTACAATACCTGCGGTCGTAATGCAAAGAAAAAAACACAACTCTGATAATGTGTGCACTGTCCTTGAAGTTGATTGGTCCACACCCGAGACAGCTTTCCTTAGAGCCTAGTCTCACATGGTGTTGGACCAGATGACGCCAAAAGGCGCACAACTCAAAGACAATGCACCATCAGAGTATGAGAGCTCGGGGTAAGCATTTACACCATTGGAACCTCATTTGCCAGTAAAAAAACATGATAATTGTTTTTTTACCCTTTAATCTGGCAACAAAATTGACACCTTTGCATACGTTATCAGAGTTATGTTTTTTGTTTGCATTATGACTGCGGGTATTGTGGTCTATGCAAACATGACTCCTCGTAAAAAAGGTGTCAGTTTTGTTGCCAGATTAAAGGGTAAAAAAAACAATTATCAACAACTATAGACAATGCAGTCACGAAAACTTCAACAACTCCAACGCCAGCTATTACCAGTTTAACACCTACTAAGTCGGCTTTCGCGACCAATATAATCCACAATAAAGGTATTTTTGGGTTAGGGGCCGTCCATAAATGACGTCACGCCATTTTGGACGATTTTTGACCCCCCCCCCCCCGCCCCAAAAATAAAACATGCTTCAAATCGCTTTAGACTATTGTCATTGTAGTGCGTATTTAATGTGGCGCTGCACTCTGATGTTGTAAGAGAACACATTCATTAAAGTCTATTTAATTAATTAGAATGTTTTGTCTATATTTATTTAAAGTTGCGCATTTTGATGTGACGTCACATTTCTCAACCCCCCCCCCCCCCTAGGTGCGTGACGTCATTTATGGACGGCCCCTTAGATCGCGTATGTGTCGTTAAACCCGCCACCACCCGATACAGCTAACTAGTAAGGTTTGTCACGTAAACAGAACAAGATCGTTCACCAACAGGGGGCCATTCCTCAGAGGTCGCAACCGGGTACCCGATACCCGTACCCTACCCGATACCCGTACCCTACCCGACACCCTACCCGATACCCGTACCCTACCCGATACCCGTACCCTACCCGATGCCCGTACCCTACCCGATGCCCGTACCCTACCCGATGCCCGTACCCTACCCGACGCCCGTACCCTACCCGACACCCGTACCCTACCCGACACCCGTACCCTACCCGACACCCGTACCCTACCCGATGCCCGTACCCTACCCGACGCCCGTACCCTACCCGACGCCCGTACCCTACCCGACGCCCGTACCCTACCCGACACCCGTACCCTAACCGATACCCGTACCCTACCCGATACCCGTACCCGACGCCCGTACCCTACCCGACACCCGTACCCTACCCGACGCCCGTACCCTACCCGACGCCCGTACCCTACCCGACGCCCGTACCCTACCCGACACCCGTACCCTACCCGACACCCGTACCCTACCCGATACCCGTACCCTACCCGATACCCGGTTACCCGACCGGGTACAGGTAGCCGTGAGTCACTGGTGAGTCACCGTTTGTCACTCATTTCGGGTAGGGTACGGGTACACATTTGCGACCCTGGTGCGGCCGGGTACGGGTACGGGTAAGGAATCAAAACCCGTTTGCGACCTCTGCCATTCCTTGACGCAGCCTGGGTGGGCATCGATCATCGTCCCGCTTTGAAGCTCCGTACCGGTTGGAACTTCCACCCGCACACAACCACAACCACCACCACAACCACCACAACCACCACCACCACAACCACGAACCACGAGGCCGACATACACCCACAGGGCGACGGAGCCACAACCACCAAAGCTACAGGGAACACCACCAACCACCCCACCACCACCACGGCACCACCACCACCGTGTCTCTCACCTCGCAGTGTTCTCACGCCGCGAGTGGCCTCTCTCCCTTCTTCTTACTCCTCGACGTTTCGCTCCGATCTCTCTCCCCTCTCTCTCTTCTCTCGCTCGCTCCCCTATCCGCCCTCTCCTCCACACGTGGGCAGTGGAGGAACTGACGTGGTGCGAGGCCTCGTGACGTGTTATGAGACTCGCGTGGCGGCGGCCATGTTGGGTGGGGGTGACCCTCCCCCTCCTCTCGCGTGGCGGACATGTTGGGTAGGGGTGACCCTCCCACCACTCACACACACCCCCAATCCGCCATCCTCTCCCGCCCGCGACTCTTGCAGCGCGCGTGGAGGCCGAGGAAGGACGCCCCCCCCCCCGGGCCTCGCGAACCTCAACCGGCGGCCATGTTGGGTAGGGAACGTGCGTGACGTCATCACGGCTTGACGTGCGCGCGCAGATGACGTCGCGCGACTGCGGGGAAACTTCCTCCGTTGGCCACGCCCACTGCCCAGGTAGCCCCGCCCCCCGTGCTGACGTAGAAGGGGCCGTCCATAAATGACGTCACGCGATATTGGACGATTTTTGACCCCCCCCCCCTCGTCACACGGCGTCACAAGAAGTCAGACCCCCCCCCTCAAATATGACGTCACAAAGCTCTGCCCCCCCCCAAAAAAAACACGCTTCAAATCGCTTTAAACTGTTGTCATTGTAGTGCGTATTTAATGTGGCGCTGCACTCTGATGCTGTAGGAATGTGTTATACGTCTCCTCTCACTGGACACAACACAGGGCGATATATATACACACCGGTGACGTGCGGTGAGGTCAATGGCTGGGGAAGCACTGACTAGTGTCAGAGCCAGTTCACACACTGAGGGGGGCGTGTTAGACACGTCCCCCTCAGTGAGGCAGATGTGATAGCTGCCTCCCCTGGTGCTTTTTCATTGCAGTTTCATGACGAGACCAGCGAGCCTAAATATCTTCATACACATACGTGAAATAAGTTACCTGGAGTATGGAAGGCGAGGACATGAAATGAAGGGGTCTACAAACATCACATTGGTGACATGCTGAGATAGTAGCAGGCACGCGCTTATTGCCCGCGCTCCATCCAGTTACTGAGGGGTTGCGCAATCAGAGGGGAGGCTGAGCTCGTCGCTGCCTCACCTCTCGTCTCTCCCTGTATTTGCAGCAGAGCTCCACAAATTTGGCGATTTTGACAATAGAAATTATTGGAATCGTACAGAAATGACATTTATAACACAGATCAATGGAAAAATCTTAATATTTATTTGATTTGATTGTTCTTTTTTTTTACTTTTAGTAACAGCTATTTTCATGACAGGTGAGGCTATGCCTCCCCCTGCCTCCCCTGACCGCACGTGCCTGGTGAATACGTCTCTACTTTAGCTACGCACAGCCGCCCTCTCGACGTAGTCCCATCGTCTACATCCAGCCACACAGCTGGCTCACTCGGGTGACGATGACGTATTGTTCATTTTGAGGATGATTTCGATTTAATATGACTTTGAAAACCCCCCGCCCACCTCCCACGCATTTCACAATTAGCACTATTCGCATTCCTGCATTTCCCATAAATATGCTAAATTCCTCTTCAAATGCAAATTCTTTTGTCAATGCTCTCTTCCTCCTCCCTCACAGCTTAAATAGACACCCCAAGCCTAAGACGTGTCATTTAGACTCTGTCTTATCGACAGACATGTTCTTCACCTGAGGACGGCTGCTTGCGTTGTGGCCGAAACGTCGTGAGAATTATTTTATTATGTTTTATTTTTATTATTTTATTACTTCCCTTCTACGTGACTTTACCGAAAGAACCAAGAAGATTTGAGGATGATGTTGACGTCGCATTATAGCTGTATGACGAACTTATTTCTGCACCGTACGTAGCCAAACGCGCGAATCGGAGTTGCGGGGGAAGGACAACAAAACACAACAACAACAAGGAGCAGTTCTACAGATAGAGAACAGAAACAGTTATTGATGTGCTTGTTGTTGTTGAGTGAAAGTTGGCCAGCGAGGGTCATTGGGTGAGGAACGGCGTTGACCCCGCGTCGCGTGCCGTGCGTGACACGTGCGTTATTCTGGTACAGGGACTCCTCTACTTACGAACGAGTTAGGTTCCAGGGGTCTGTTCGTAAGTCGATTTGTTCGTAAGTCCAACTTTACTGCTATCGATTCCAAAACACGTTGTACGTCGTGTACACTAAGGGGCCGTCCATAAATGACGTCACGCACCTAGGAGGGAGGGGGATCAGACATTTGTGACGATGTGTGACGAGGGGGGGGGGTTGAGAAATGTGACGTCACATCAAAATGCGCAACTTTTTCATTAAATAGACTTTTTAATAAATGTTTTCTCCTACAACATCAGAGTGCAGCGCCATAATAAATACGCACAATGACAATGGTTTAAAGCAATTTGAAGCATGTTTTATATTTGGGGGGGGGGGGCAGAGCTTTGTGACCTCATATTTGAGGGGGGGTCGGACTTTATGTGACGCCGTGTGACGAAGGGGGGGGGGGGGTCAAAAATCGTCCAAAATTGCGTAATGGAATTTATGGACGGCCGCTAAACACGGGAAATGGCTTTAAAAGTTGTATAATCTCCTGTAGATGTAGATGCCGCTGGTTCTTCTTACTACCACCATCAACTCTTTCACCACTCGTACGCTTCTGAGAAATAACGGAGGTTGATAATGTTCGTGAAAAGCAGAAATGCTGGGCAATGCTGGGTAATGACACCGCCGTCTATTGCGCGGCGCGGTTCAACTTACGACTCTCGGTCCGAACGTGCCTGTGGACGTACGGGACACGTTTGTTCGTATCTCTGACGGTTCGTAAGTCGAATGTTCGTAACTCGAGGAGCTCCTGTACCGTGGATCCCACGCTGCGCGGGTCGAGTTTGATGAATGAATGAGTGACGTGACGTCACACCCCCACCCCCCTCGGTTTCTACCGCCCCCCTCCCCCAGTTTCAAGCCTCGCGCTCATTGGCCGCGGCTGCGCACGTGATCCTTGCGTGGCCAATGGGAGTGGCGTGAGCCCCCCCCCCCCACGTGGGGGGGGGGAGGTTATTAAAGGAGGCGCGAAGACTCGCGCCTCAGAGTCGCACGACTCGGAGAGTGCAGCAACCCGCGGTCGCCTCCTCCTCCGCCTCATCATCATCCTCATCAATCTCCTCATCAATCTCCTCATCATCATCAACCTCCTCATCACCATCACCCAGACATCGAGATTTCCTCACCCAGAAGCGGGACACCCCATCCTGGTCCCGCGTCTACCCCCTCACCCTCAACCCCACGTCCCCACGACCCCAGGTCCCCACGTCTCCACGTCCCCAGGTCCCCACCATCCATCCCAGTTGCTTCCGAGCCCCCCAGCCTCCTCGTCCTCACGCCTCCGCTCCTTGTGGGGGTCCCGCGCCTTCCCGGCCCCTCTCCATCGCTCCTCTTCCCCGGCTCACAAACTCCACCACCCCTCCTCCACCCCTCCTCCACCCCAACACTCTCCCTCACCCCCTGTAGCTCACCCCCTGTAGCTCTCCCTCACCCCCTGTAGCTCACCCCCTGTAGCTCACATCGCCCACGGTACCCCCTGATCCCCCCCGTATCGGCCCCTTGACTCTCTCCCCGTCTCTCTGCGCGATACTCGCAACGCTCCTACACAACATCGCTCACCCATCTCGCTCACCCATCTCGCTCACCCATCTCGCTCGCTCCCCCCTCGCTCCCCCATCTCCCCCGGGTCTCCCCCTCGCTCGCTCGCTCGCTCGCTCTCCTCGCTCCCCCATCTCCTCGCTCTTCCCTCGCTCCCCCCTCGCTCCATCATCTCCCCCCTCTCCTCGCTCACCCATCTCCTCGCTCCCCCATCTCTCCTCGCTCCACCCGCTCCCCCGGGTCTCCCCCGGGTCTCCCCCTTGCCCCTCGCTCCCCTCGTCCTCTCTCCCCCCCCGCTCCCCGTCTCTCCATGGAGAAGTCCGGCAGCGCGGGCCGCTTCCACGTGGACGTCGTCTGCGAGGCTGCCGGCATCGCCTCCTCGTCGTCTGGCGCGGAGCTGCGTCACCGCGGGGGGGGCCCCGACGACCCCCCCGGCTACCCCGAGCAGCAGCAGCAGCAGCAGCGGGGGCCCGAGGAGGGTCGCTCGGTGCCCGGGGGGGGGGCCCCCAGAGGGGGGGGGCCTCCTCACCACGTCAACTTCGTGGACGGCGGCGGCGTGGGACGCCGGCAGCAGCAGCAGGCGGGCCCCCCCCCACCACAGCACCAGCAGCAGCACCACCAGCTGCTGCTGGGTGGTGGGGGGCAGAACGGGGACACGGTGCGCAGCGAGGGGGGCGACTCGTCGCTGGGGGGGGGGGGGCCCCCACGCGCACGACTCGCACTCCAACACGTACTACCTGCGCACCTTCGGGCACAACACGCTGGACGCGGTGCCCAACATCGAGTTCTACGCGAACGCGGCGAGCCTCGTGGGCGAGCAGATGCTGAGGCCCACGCTGGCCGAGCTGCACAACGAGATGGACAAGGTGCGCACTGGGGGGCGGGGGGGGGCATAACGAGGGGGGAGGGGGGGTCATAACGAGGGGGGGCACGGAAGAGTTGGAGTGGGGGGGGGCACGGGAGAGTTGGAGTGGGGGGGCAATGAATGTGGTCGAGATGAGTGTTTGATGGTGGAGCTGTGTTTAGTGGTGGACGTGGATCTGGTGGAGTCTCGAGGGGGGGTCATAACGAGGGTTGGGGGGGGCACAGGAGAGTTGGAGTGGGGGGGGGGGCACGGGAGAGTTGGAGTGGGGGGGCACAGGAGAGTTGGAGTGGGGGGTGGGGCACGGGAGAGTTGGAGTGGGGGGGGAGCAATGAATGTGGTGGAGGTGAGTGTTTGATGGTGGAGCTGTGTTCAGTGGTGGACGTGGATCTGGTGGAGTCTCGAGGGGAGGGGGGGGGGGCTCCATGATGAGGTGGAGACCCCCCCGCCCCCCCCCCCCCCAATCATCAGCGGTTCCGCGTGGCTGATGATTCCCAAAATAAAACCACTCTGGGCTCCTGGTATGCGGGGAGTTTGATGGGAAGGAGAAGGGGGGGGGGGCTGCGGGGGGGGGGGGGCTGCGGGGGAGGAACCCCCTCGCCAAACCCCGCTGGTAAACG